TTACAGGCGTGAGCCAAAACTTTTTTTTTTTAATTAGAGCTGGGATCTTCGCTCTGTTGCCCAGGTTGGAGTGCAGTGGCTATTCATTGGCACAATCAAGCACGCTACAGCCTCAGACTCCTGGCCTCAGATGATCCTCCCACCTCAGCCTCCCAAAGTGTGGGGGTTACAAGCATGAGTCTCTGAGGCTGGCCTGTTTGTTCATTGTTTAAATAGCAGCTCTATTGAGATGTAGTTGACTGATCATAAGTTCACCATTTTAAAGTGTACAATTCGGTGGATTTTTTTTTAGCTCTACTGCTTAATAATGTAGTGGATTTTAGTATATTCAGAGTTGTACAACCGTCACCACTATCTAATTCCAGAACATTTTCTTTTTTTTTTCTGAGATGGAGTCTCACTCTGTCTCCCAGGCTGGAGTGCAGTGGTGCAATCTCAGCTCACTGCAACCTCTGCCTCCTGGGTTCAAGCAGTTCTCTTGCCTCAGCCTCCTGAATAGCTGGAATTACAGGTGTGTGCCACCAACCCTGGCTAATTTTTGTATTTTTAGTAGAGAAAGGGTTTCACCATGTTGGCCACGCTGGTCTCGAACTCCTGACCTCAGGTGATCTGCCCGCCTCAGCCTCCCAAAGCGCTGGGTTTACAGGCGTGAGCCACCACGCCCAGTCTAATTCCAGAACATTTTCATCACTCCAAAAAGAAACCCTGAACCAATTAGCAGTTACTCCTCATTCTCCCCCAAACCCCTTTCCCCAGACCTAGACAACCGCCAATCTACTTTCTGTTTCTATAGCTTTACCTATTCCAGATATTTTATATAAATGGAATCACACAATATGTAGTCCGTTGTGACTGAGTTCTTTCACTTAGCAGAATGTTTTCAAGGTTCCTCCATGTTGGAACACTCATCAGTACTTCATTCCTTTTTATTGATGAGTAATATTCCACTCTATGAATATACCACATTTGGTTTATCAACATATCATTTGGCGGACGTTTTGGTAATTTCCATTTTTTGGCTATTTTTCTGTAGAGACAGGGTTTCACCGTAAGTAATGCTGCTATGATCATTTGTGTACAAGTTTTTATATGAATATGTTTTCAGTTCTCTTGAGTATATGCCTAGTAGTGGAAGTGCTGGGTTATATGGTAAGTCTGTGTTTAACTTTTTTTTTTACATTCTCACTAATAGTGTGTGAGGGTTCCGGTTTCTCTACATCCTCACCAACATGTGTTACTGTCCGTCTTTAAATTATAGTCATTCTAGTGGATCTGAAGTGGTATCCATTGTGGGGTTTTTGAGACAGGGTCTTACCCTGTCACCCAGGCTGAAGTGCAGTGACGTGATCACGGCTCACTGCAGCCTTGACCCCCCAGGCTCAGGTGATCCTCCCACCTCAGCCTCTTGAACCGCTGGGATTACAGGTGTGTGCTACCATACCCTGCTAATTTTTTGTTGTTGTTGTTGTATTTTTTGTAGAGACAGGGTCTTGCTATGTTGTCCAGGCTGGACTCAAATTTCTGGGCTCAAGGGATCCACATGCCTCAGCCTCCCAAAGTGCTGGGATTACAGGTGTCAGCCACCGCACCGGGTCCCCGTTGTGGTTTTGATTTAGATTTCCCTATATGACTATTAATGGTGAACATCTTTTCATGTGCTTATCAACCATTTGTATATCTTCTGAGAAGTATCTATTGAGATCCTTTGCCCTTTTTTTTTTTTTGAGACAGAGTCTCGCGGAGTCTTGCTCTATCACCCAGGCTAGAGTGCAATGGCGCGATCTCCGCCTACTGCAACCTCTGTGCCCTGGGTTCAAGCAATTCTCCTGTGTGAGCCTCCCAAGTAGCTGGAATTACAGGTACACGCTACCACACCTGGCTGATTTTTTGTATTTTAGTAGAGACGGTGTTTCACTGTGTTGCCCAGGCTGGTCTCAAACTCCTGAGCTCAGGCAATCCACCCGCCTCAGGCTCCGAAAGTGCTGGGATTACAGGCGTGAGCCATCGCGCCTGGCCCTGGAGTTTCAGTTCTGTTTCATTAATCTACATGTTTGTCTTATGCAAGTTCTCTAATATCTTGGTTACCATAGCTTTGTAATAAGTTTTTTTGTTTTGTTTTGCTTTTGTGTGTGTGT